TGCCCCTCAGCCCCCCCCCAAATTCCCATTTCCCAAATTCCTCCTCAGCCCCCCCAAAATTGCCAATTCCCACATTCCTCCTCAGCCCTTTCCCCCCAAATCTGCCTCTCAATCCCCCCAAATTCCCAATTCCCAGACTCCTCCCCAATGCCCTCCCAGCCCCTCATACACAGCCTTCAATGCACTCTACCAAAATTTCCAATTCCCAAATTCCCCCTCACCCCCCCCAAAATTGCCAATTCCCAGATTGCTCCTCATCCCTTTCCCCCCCAAATCTGCCCCTCAGTCCCCCCTAAAATTGCCAATTTCCAAGAGCCCCCTCATCCCCTCCCAAATTTCCCAGTTCCCCCCAAAGAGCAGTGAACCCCCAAGCCCTGGAGGCTCCCAGCGTTTTCACCCCCAAATCTGCCCCTCCAGAGACCCCCAAATCCCGGCCCCCAGCCCTCCCCAAACAGCAGCCACCCCAATTCCCACCCCCTGGAGCTCCCCAGGCCTTTCACCCCCAAATTTCCTCCTAACCCCCTCCCAAATTACCCCCAGAACCCCAATTCCCACCCCCGGAGCCCCCCCAGCCCTGCTCCTCTGCAGGGATGTTCCTCTAAGGATGTCCCTGAAGGCCACCAAGGCCACCAGCCCTGTCACCAAGCTGTCACAGGATGACCCCCGGGAGCCCTTCCTTCCTCTCGAGGAAATTCCAGGCTCCAGAGCGGGGGGGTCCCCTCAGTGCCCACCCCCATCCTGCACCCCAAACCCCTCCCTGGAGCCGGCACACCCCCGCAGCGTGTGGAAAGACAATTAATCCCTAATTAATTTCACTTGTCCTGCCAAGAATTGATCGTTTCCTGCCCGAGAAACTGCGGCGGCTTTCCCGGCAGCGCCATTCCCTGTTTTTCCGCCGGGTGCCAGGGCGGGAGAGGGCAGGGCGGCTCGGGGGCACCTCTGGGGGCACCCCTTATCTCCTGCCCGCACTCCTCGGCTCCCTTTGGAGCGGGAGGAGCGGAGCCGAGGCGGGGAGAGCCGAGAAGTCACCCCCAAAACACCTCCTGGCACGTGGGTGCCCTGTCCGAGTGGCCACCCCTGAGTGACCACCCCGGTGCCACCCCCGGCACCCAGCGGAGCCCCCAGACTCGTGGGAAAGCCATCATGGGCAACTGTGTCCCCGTGGTGAGTGACCCCCACCCCCAAAATTCCTGTCCCTGGGGGTGTCACATCCCCGCGGAGGGGAGGGCTGGGGGCACGGGGGGTTTGGGGGGTGCTCGGTGTGAGGAGGAGTGTGGGGGTCCCCTAGTTCTGGGCAGGATCACGGGAATCTCCAGTGGGGTTTAGGGGAGTTGAGTGGGGTTTAGGGGGTCCCTGGGGACTCTAAGAGGGGTCACAGGGAGTTCCCAATTCTGAGCAGGATCATGGGGGTCCCCAATAGGATTTAGGGGAGTGGGGTTTAGGGGATCCCTGGTGCTGAGCAGGACCACGGGAATCCCCAGTGCCCAGTGGGATTTAGGGGATTTTTGGAGTTTAGGAGTCCCCAGCACTGAGCAGAGCCCTGAGGGTCCCCAGTTCTGAGCAGGACCATGGGAATCTCCAGTGGGATTTAGGGGAGTTAGTGGGGTTTAGGGGATCCTTGGGGACCCTAAGAGGGGTCACAGGGAGTCCCCAGCACTGAGCAGAGCCCTGAGGGTCCCCAGTTCTGAGCAGGACCATGGGGATCCCTGGTGCTGAGCAGGATCACGGGGAATCTCCAGGGCCCAGAGGGGTTTAGGGGATTTTGGGGGTTTAGAGGATTTGGGGGGTTTAGGAGCCCCCAGTTCTGAGCAGAACCACGGGGGTCCGTGTCCCCACAGGATCTGTGCCCACCCTCCGGGCTCTGCATCCTCCCCGCGTCCCTCCTGTGAGACAACGGTCCCATCCCGGCCCCACCCCGCGCCCGGCTGTCCCCAGCCGTGTCCCCGTGTGTCCCTCCCTGATAACCCGCCCTGCCCTGCCCGCCATCCCCACACCGGGGGCAGCCCACGGCCGGGACCCGGGCCATGTGGCACCTGCCCGACGCCCGCCCCCCTCACCCGCAGACCCCCGGCATCCTGGAGACCCCGGACTCCCTGGACCTGGGTGAAATCACGGGCAACCTCTCCTCCTTCTACGACGACGACACTTACATCAACGACACCCTCCTGGACTACGACGCCACACCCTGCCACAACCGCTTCTGTCCCCTCTTCCAGCGCGTGGCCCCCCCTTTCCTGGCCGCCACCTGCGCCGCGGCCGCGCTGGCCACCGGCGCTTTGCTGGTGGCCCTGGCCAAGCGTCCCCAAGCGTGGCGGTGGCCGCAGAGCCGAGCGCTGGTGGCACAGCTGGCGCTGGGCACGGCGCTGTTCGCGGCGCTGCTGCCGGCGCTGGCCGCGGGCGCGGCGCGGGGTTGGCACCTGGGCACGGGGCTGTGTCGCCTCACGCACCTCCTGTGGCACTGGAGCGTCTTCGCCCAGGCGCTGCTGGTGGCCAGCGGCTCCTGCGGCACCGCCTGGGCTCGCTGGGACCCCCGGAGCCGCCGCTTGGCCGTGGCGCTGTGGGCAGCGGCGCTGCTCTTGGCCACTCCGGCCGCTCTGGTCAGCGGCGTGGCGGCGGGCACCGCCTGCGTCCGGCGCAGCGTGGGCATCCTGGCACCGGCTTACCTGCTGCACCTGGCCCTGTGTCTGTGCCTGCTGCTGCTGCTGCCCGCGGGGCTGCTGGTGGCCGCGCTGTGCCCCAGGGCGAGCGGAGCCGGGCTCGCCTGGCTCTTCCTGGGGCTCTGGGGGCCCTACGGAGCGGGGCTGGCCGGGGAGTTCGTGCTGCAGGCCGGGCTGCTGGAGCCCACCTGCGGCTCCTTCGAGCACTTCGACATCGCGCTGGGGCTGAGCGAGGGGCTGGGGGTGCTGCACTGCGGCCTCGGGCCCCTGGCGCTGCTGCTCGCCCGGAGCTGCCGCCGCGATGCCGGTGCTGCCGGGGGCTGCTGAGCTCCGGGGGCTGCGGAGAGCCGGGACCGCCAAACTCCGGGAATGCCGGGTTCCGGGACCGCCAAACTCCGGGACTGCTGAGCTCCGGGACTGCCAAACTCCGGGAATGCCGGGTTCCGGGGCTGCCAAACTCCGGGAATGCCGAGCTCCGGGACTGCTGAGCTCCGGGGCTGCCAAACTCCGGTAGCGCCGGGCTCCGGAACTGCCAAACTCTAGGAATGCCGGGCTCTGGGACTGCAGAGCTCCGGGACTGCCGAGCTCCGGGGGCTGCACCGCAGAGCCAAACGGACCCCCGGCACTGAGCCCCGGCCCCCTGGCGCCAGACTTGGACCCCTGGCACAGATTTGGCACCCTGTGGACCCTCGGCACTGAGCCCCGGCCCCCTGGCACTAGATTTGGACCCCCGGCACAGATTTGGCACCCTAGATCCTGGGTACCAACCTTGGCCACTCAGCACTGACCCCTGGCCACCTGGCACAAGCCTTGGCACCCTGGCACTGCCCCCCGGCCCCACCGTGCCCCCCCAGTCCCACACCCAACACTCCCCCAGGACCCCCCCGTTCTGTGCCCTCTGTCCCTTCCCTTGGGGTCTCAGCCTCCTTTTTGGGGCCAGACCCCCCCACTGCCCAGCACAGACAGCCCTGGGGTGCCTCAGGCTGCTCGGGGGCGTCACCCCAGACCCCTGGGGGATCCCCGAGGCTCAGCCCGCCCCCGCTGAAGGGGGGGATTTCAAAAGTGATGGGATTTTTTCCATCTCTCCTGACAAGCCAAGAGGACCCAGTGGGAATTAAACACAAATAAACACAACTGCCAGAGGCACTCGTCCGGTCCAGTTAATGCACTGGATGGGACTGGGCGGTGATGGGGGGGATGGGAAACGGGGGGGGTGTGCTCCTCGTGCCTCCAAATTGGCAGGAAAAGCTCCTAAGGAAGCTGTGGAGCCTGCCAGGGGGGAGCGGGGGCATTTATACCCAGAGCCCACGAGGGCCGGGCGCGTGCAGTCACGGGTGTGACACGGGCACTGGAGTGGGGACAATGGGGCTGCTCTGCCCGAGCCAAGCCCTGGAGGAGCTGGGGGATTGATCAGTGGGGAATGAGCCCACATTGTCCCCAAAATTTGGGATCCATCAAACCCCTGCAGGGACTCAACACCCCCAGCCCGGCACCATCATTTGGGGCAGGCAAAACCTTCCCCCTTCCCATCTGCCTGTCCCCTTGGGTCACCATGGTCACCCCAGGACACTCGGCCACCTGGTGTCCATGGTTCCATCTCAGTCCCCTCGGGCAGGACAGGCAGAGCAGAGCCTGGGATGTGCCCCCCGAGCTGCGGCTCAGGGCAGGGGGCACAAGGGAACCTTTCCCTGCACCCCTCGGATGATCCCAAATCGAACCACGTCCCTGCAATGGGGGTTTGCCCAGAGCAGGCACACCTGGGGAAGGAGTGCTCATGGCTGGGATGTCCCTGTCACCCGGGTGGGCACATAGCTGGGATGTCCCTGTCCCCCGGGAGAAGGGGACACACCCAGGGCACAGCTCCAAGGGCAGCCCCGTGCAGGCGGGTGACCCCAGGTCTTGTGGCACGGCCGCGTGATGGCATGAAATCACCCACCCTGGGCATGAAATCGCCCCTCCCGGGCACGCCAGGCTGCTGAGGATGGGACTGGGGACATCCCCCCGGCAGTCCCCTCCCCTCCTCGGGCACATAAACCCGGCGGCAGCGCCGCGCCCGCCCGGCTCCAGCACCGACCATGGGCCACCTGCAGCTCTGGCTGCTCGTCCTGGCCGGGCTCGCGGGGATCGCGGCTCAGGAAGGTAGGGGGGACACCGGGGTGGGGGGACAGAAGGGGCAGGGTCCCAGGGGGGACACCCAGCAGCTCTCAGATCACTCTCAGCCAGCGGAGCTGGAGGATGCTGGAGCAGGGGACAGCCAGAGAGGGCTGTGGGACACGCCAGGCTCCCAGCAGGTCCCCTCTGTCGTCCCCAGACCTGTACCGAAAGGTGTTCGTGTTCCGGAAGGATCCCAGCGACGCCTTCGTGGTGCTGCAGGCGCAGCTGGAGCAGCCCCTGCGCAACTTCACCGTGTGCCTGCGCTCCTACACCGACCTCACCCGGCCACACAGCCTCTTCTCCTACGCCACCAAGGCCCAGGACAACGAGATCCTCCTCTTCAAACCCAAACCCGAGGAGTACCGCTTCTACGTGGGCGGAAAGTTTGTCACCTTCCGCGTCCCCGAGGGCCGCAGGGACTGGGAGCACGTGTGCGCCAGCTGGGAATCCGCCAGCGGCATCGCCGAGTTCTGGCTCAACGGCAAGCCCTGGCCGAGGAAGGGGCTGCAGAGGGGCTACACGGTGGGCGCCACGGCTGCCATCCTGCTGGGGCAGGAGCAGGACAGCTTTGGAGGTGGCTTTGACCTCTACAACTCCTTCTCGGGGGAGCTGAGCGACGTCTACCTGTGGGACACGGGGCTGTCGCCGGAGAAGATGCGCGCGGCCTTCCTGTCGCTGCGCCTGCCGCCCGCGCTGCTGGCCTGGAACAGCCTCAGCTACGAGGTCAAGGGAGACGTGCTGGTGAAAGCCCGGCTCCGGGAGGTGCTGGGGGCCTGAGGGCTGTGGGGCAGGGGTGGCCTCGGTCCCCGCTGTCCCCTCCTCACCCCTGTCACTCACACCCATCTCCCCGTCACCGCTTCACCTCTACAACCCACCGCGAGGAAGGTTCCCCAGCTGGGGACAGGGTCCCCCGGAGTGCCACCAACACCTGGGGTACCCAGTCCCCTCCCCACGCCCCCCGAGCTGCCCCACGGCCGTCCCTGCACAGGCAGGACACGGATCCAGCGGCTCGGCGCTGCCCAGCCCCATGTGGAGTCAGGAACGGGAAGGCTCCTCCCTTGGGGACAGGGGGACTGTCCCCAAAGCCAGTCCCCCCCACGCTCACACGCCATTTCCCAACAGCCCTGGGGCTTGGGGACAAAGATCAGTGTCACCACGAAAGTCACTGTCACTCTTGGGTGTCCTCGGAGCAGCTCTGGGTGGCTCCGAGGTCCCTCCTTTCCCACGGTGGTGACAGTGGCTGGGTTGGACGGTGCCATGGGGCCGCTGTGGCTCTGCCTCCTCATCCTCACTGCGTTCCTTAGCCCCACAGCCCTGCGAGGTGGTGGCAGGGGGACACCGGGACCCCCTGGGGGGCATGGGGACATGCAGGGGGGGTTATGGGGACAGTGGGGCACCCTGAGTGCTCCAAAAGCGTGAGGGGTGGGGGCAAAGGGGGTACGGGGGAACCCACAAGGGGCACCCCGAGCTCTGCAAGGGGGGGCCGTGCAGGGCACAGGGGTCTTGGCAAGGCTGGCAGGAGGGGACACGATGGCAAAGGGGCACCCTGAGGACCGAAATGGGGGACAGCAGGGACTCGACACTCAACACCCTGTGCCATAGCTGGCGGTGACCCCGGGGGCTGACGCTGGATGTCACCTCGGCGATGGCAGGAGCAGCCACCTGTGTGTCACCTCTCCCTGACCTGGGCAGCTCGGTGTTCCCCCAAGAGTCCGAATGTGCCCACGTGCAGGTGACAGCCAAGCTGAAAAAGCCCCTGGCCAACTTTGCCTTGTGCCTCAAGTCCTACACCCACCTCACCCGGCCCTCCAGCCTCTTCTCCTACGCCACCGAAACGCAGAGCAACGAGATCCTCCTCTTCAAGCCCAAACCTGGCCAGTACGACTTCAACGTGGGCAACCAGTTCTTGTCCTTCACGGTGCCTGAAGTTCTCGGGGAGGTCGAGCACGTCTGTGTCAGCTGGGAATCCTCCACGGGCATCGTCAGCTTCTGGCTCAACGGGAAGCGCTGGCCCAGGAAGGGGCTGCAGAAGGGCTACACGGTGGGAGGGCCGGCATCCATCGTGCTGGGGCAGGAGCAGGACAGCTTCGGGGGTGGTTTCGATGCCAAGCAGTCCTTCCTGGGGGAGATTTCATCCGTGTACATGTGGGACACGGGGATCTCCACCTTGGAGGCGGTGTGGGCCATGTATGACACACCTGGTGAAACCCCCGTCTTTGGCTGGAAGAATTTCCCCTGCAAGATCGTGGGCGAGGTGCACCTGAATCCCTGAGGTTGTGGGGGGTGCCCCCCGTCCCTGCAGTGTAACCCCCTCCCCCAAAGCCACCCAACACTGCATAAATGGAGAAATGTGGTTTTAGGGTTCTGGTGGTCTTTAGGGGTGTGGGAATTGTGATGGATCCAGGCTCAGAAGCTCCCTAGGGTGAGGAGGGAATAGGGGAAAGAATGCCCAGGCCAGAGCCTTGCTCTGGTTTGGAGACATGGGGCTGAGCTGGGGACAGTCCTGGGGGGGTTTGTGCACCCCTGGCAGCCCCCAGGCATGGTGGGGCTGGGGTTGGGGCAGAACTCAGGGGGCCAGGACTGTTGGGGGGCAGCCCTGGGACAACCCAGTGTCCCCAAGCTTGGGCAGGTTCAGTCCCATGTCCCAGAGCCCTGGGGGTGCAGTTCTGGAGCCCTTGGGGGGGTTCAGGCCAGGGGTGCAGCTCTGTATCCTGGGGGTTCAGCCCTACAGCCCCGTGTCCCACACAGATCCGGAGGGTCCAGCCCTGGAGTCCCGAGGTGTTCAGTCCCAGAGCCCCGGGTGGCAATCCCGTATCCCGGGGGCCTCAGTCCCGGAGCCCCGGGGGGCTCAGCTCCCTGTCGCGGGGGATTCAGCCCCCCATTCCTGCAGACCCCTGCCCCGGGGGGTTCCAGCTCGCTGTCCCGGAGGTTCAGCCCCGTGTCCCACAGCCAAGCAGCCGCGGGTCCCTCCCTTGTCCCCCCGACACCGACCCGACCTCCGCCGTGTCCCCTTTGTCCCCTGTGTCACCCCCGCGCCGCCTCCGACTCTCGCTGTGGCCTCTCCCGGCCCCGCTCCGGTTCCGCTCCCCCTCAGCTCCGGCCCGGCTTCGCCTCACTCCGCCTCAGCCCGGGCCCCGTTCCGGCCCAGCTCCGCCTCAGCTCGGGCGCAACTCCGGCCCCGCTCCTCCTCAGCTCCGGCCACACTCCGCCTCAGCCCGGGCCCGGCTTCGCCTCAGCTCCGGCCCCGCACCCCCTCAGCTCCGGCCACACTCCGCCTCAGCCCGGGCCCGGCTTCGCCTCAGCTCCGGCTCAGCTCCGGCCCCGCTCCCCCTCAGCTCCGGCTCAGCTCTCCCTCCGCCCGGGCCCGGCTCCGCCTCAGCTCCGGCCCCGCTCCGCCTCAGCTCCGCCTCAGCTCGGGCCCCGCTCCGCCTCAGCTCCGCCTCAGCTCCGGCCCCGCTCCGCCTCAGCCCGGGCCCGGCCCGTTCTCGCTCCGCCCCGCGCGGCCTCCCCGGTACGGCGGGGCCGGGGGACACCGGGGCGGAGGGGACGGAGCGAGGCCGGGGTCCAGCGGGGGGCCCCGAGCTGGGCCCGGGGCGCTGAACGGGAGTCCCGGGGGGCTGATGAGGTGGGGGGGTCTGAATTGGGGCACCCGGTTCAGCTCTGCTGGGTGTGAGGGTCCTGACGTGAGGAGCGTCAATTGAGGGGTCTGAATTTGGGGTTTGGGGTGCAGGGGAGTTTGGGGTACCCTGGTCTTGTTCTCCAGGGTGTGGTTTTGGGGGTCCTGGGGGTCCTGACATGGGGGGGTCTCAGTTGAGGGGACTGAATTTGGGGTTTATTTGGGAGTCCTGGCCAAGGGGTGCAGGGAAGTTTGGGGTACCCTGGCCTCAATCTCCAGGGTGTGGTTTTGGGGGTCCTGACATTGGGGATCTGAATTTGGGAGTCTGGGGGTCTTGACCTGGGGGTCCTGGGTATCTGGCCAGGTTCTCCAGGGGGTTGGTTTTGGGGGGGCAGGGGTCCTCATGGGCAGAGTCTGAGCTGGGGGTCTGGGGGCTTTATTTAGGGGTCCCAAGGGTTCTGGCCAGGGGGTTTTGGGGGTGGTCCTGGGGCTTTTGGAGGTGTGGAGGGATCTCCAGGGGGATGGTGTTGGGGGTCTGAGCTGGGGGTCCCAGGGTCCTGAATGGGGGCTTGGCCATATTCTCCCGGGGTTGGAATTGGGGGGCATTAATTTGGGGTCTCAGGGGTCCTGACCAGGGGCCCTGGGGAGGTGGTAATGGGGTCTGGGGTCCTGAGATGGGGGTCCCAGGGAGTCTGATGTTGTGGGTCATGAGGGCCTGTCAGGAGGTCCAGGGGACTGAACTGGGGGTCCCAGGGGGCCTGGCCGTGTTTTGGGGCACAGAGGGTTGTATTGGGGTCCTGGAGATCCTGGAGGCTTGGCCACGTTTACTGGGGAGGGGGTGTTGGGGATCCTGGGGGTCTTTGGGGACCTGATTTGGGGGCCTGGCCATGTTTACTGGGGAGGGGGTACTGGTGGCCCTGGGGGTCTCTGAGGACCTGATTTGGGGGCCTGGCTATGTTTACTGGGGAAGGGGTGTTGGGGGTCCTGGGGGTCTTTGGGGACCTGATTTGGGGGCCTGGCCACGCTCTCCTGGGGGTGATATTGGGGATCCTGGAGGTGCTGACCTCGGGGGGGGGGGGATCCCAGGGGATCTTTCCTGGGGTCCCAGCATCCAAAATGGGGGTCCTGACCTGGGGGATCCGAGGGGATCCTCCCCGGGTGTCCCCAGAGCCGCAGTGTCCCCTGTCCCCACAGGCAATGGGTTCATTGGAGCCCCCCAATTTCTCGTGGGTGGTCGAGGGGCGGCTGGCGGGGCTGGCGATGCCGCGGGAACCGGGGCACTACCGGTACCTGCGGGAGCGCGGCGTGCGGCACCTGGTGTCCCTGAGCGAGCGGGCCCCGCCCCACCACGGCTGCTGTCCCCAAATCCAGCTGCACCGGCTGCGCGTGGCCGACTTCACCCCGCCGAGCCCCGAGCAGATCCAGAGCTTCCTGCGGATCGTGCAGGAGGCCAATGGCCGCGGGGAGGTATGGCCGGGGACATCTGGGGGAGGGGACAGCGAGGGGGACAGCTGGGGGTGGTACCTGGGGGACAACTGTGGGGGGCAGCTGGGGGAGGCTGGAGGTGGTGACACCAGGGGGATACCTGGGGGAAGACACCAGGGGAGGGGACACTGGGGAAGACATCTGGGGGAACACTTAGGGGACACCTTGAAGGGGTGGCATCTCAGGGTGGGGAACACGTCGAGGGCTGGGGGGAGACCTCAGCGGGGTGACAGCTTAGGGGGAAGGGACACCTTGAGGAGGGACATTTGGAAGGATGGCACCTTGGTGGTGGGGGACACTTTGGAGTGGGTGACGTCTTGACACCGCGGTGGGGGACACCTTGGGGGTGGGGGGAGGTGACATCTCAGGGGAATGGCACCTTAGTGGGGGATGGACACCACTTGAGGAATGACACCTTGGGAAGGTGACACCTTGGGAGATGGACACCACTTGAGGAATGACACCTTGGGAGGGTGACGCCTGCAGGGGAACATCCACCTTGTGGTAGGGCTGTGACACCTGGTGGCTGTGACATCTCAGGGAGTTGTCACTTCAAGAAGGGACACCTGGCAAGATGAGGGGAGGGGGTGACAGGAGGTGACACCAGGCAGAAATCCCATGAAGGCAGCGCCAAAGCGGGCATCGCCTGTCACTCAGAGGGGCACGTGGGTGTCCAGCAGTGCCACCCAGCCGCCGTGTCCCCGTGTCCAGGCCGTGGCAGTGCACTGCATGCTGGGCCACGGCCGGACTGGCACGCTGCTGGCCTGTTACCTGTGCAAGGAGCAGCACCTGGCAGGTGACGACGCCATCCGTGAGATCCGGCGCCTCCGGCCCGGCTCCATCGAGACTGCAGAGCAGGAGCAGGCCGTGCTCCGCTTCTGCCAGTGCCTGGGGTAGGTGCCACCCTCCCCAGGCTGTCACCACGGGGGTTCCCTCCCCCAGTTGTGGCTCCCAGATGTCCCCAGTCCTTGCTCACTGGTGGCATTTTCCCCTCCACAGCACTGGTGAGGAGAGCTGAGCACATGGATGGCATCCATGGAACTGGGCACCCCGAAGTGCCAGGCGTGCCCAGCCCCATCTGCCCCCTCCTGCATTAAAGGACTGGCCTGTGGCTTCTCTCCAGGTCTGGTTTTGGGGTACACACTGGGGGGATGCCTGGTCATGGCTCTGCTGGGCGCCCCCAGACCCGGCTTAGTTGGCAGCTGCATCCTGGGATTTGGGGTCCTGGCTCTGGGATCCTGGGTTTGGGGTTCCTCAGGGTTCTGGTTCCGGATCCCAGCTTTGAGCTCCCTCAGGGCCCTGAATTTGGGGTCATTCAGAGTCCCAGTTCTGGGGTTGTTTGGGATCCTGGCTCTGGGATCCGGGGTTTGGGGTTCCTCAGGGTTCTGGTTTTGGGGTGATTTAGGGTCCTGGTTTTGGGGTTGTTCGGGATCCTGGCTCTGACATCCCTTGGGGTGATGGCTCTGGGATCCTGGGCTTGGGGTTCCTCAGGGTTCTGGTTCTGGATCCCAGCTTTGAGCTCCCTCAGGGCCCTGAATTTGGGGTCATTCAGAGTCCCAGTTCTGGGGTTGTTTGGGATCCTGGCTCTGGGGTCCCTTGGGGTGATGGCTCGGGGGTCCTGGGTTTGGAGTCCTCACTTTGGGGCCTTGGCTTTGGGGTCTGAGATCTGGGTCCTGGCTCTGGGTTCTGGTTTTGGGGTCTTGGTTTTGGGGTCCTGGCTCTGGGTTCTGGTTTTGGGGTCTTGGTTTTGGGGTCCTGGCTCTGGGTTCTGGTTTTGGGGTCCTGGCTCGGGGTCCTGGCTCTGGGGTCCCTCAGGGTGCTGTTTGTGGGGTCCCATGGGATCCCAGCTCTGGGGTTGTTCTGTCCCTGGGGTCCTTCAGGGACCCCGAGCAGCCCCCCCAGAGCACCCCCCGAGCTGTCACCCGCCAGCGCCCCGATGCCACGTGGAGGGTGACGACCGTGTCAGCGCCCGGGGGCCGACCCGGGACGTTGACGCTTAAAGTGTAGCTTAGCCGGAATTGAGGCATCTCCATCCAAAAATCCAATCCTGGAAATCTCTTCTCAGCTGCTCCTAACCTTGGTGGCATTTAAATCCTGGGTGGAAGCGGTGTCACCGTCCCCGTTTCCGGGCGGGTGGCACATGGCTTGGAGCGCCCCGGGCACAACTGGGGCCAGCGCCTCAACCAGCAGCTCCACAGTCCCCAAAAAAGTTCCTTTGGAACCCCATAATGTCACCATCCTCCTTTGGGGACAAAGCACCAGGGTGGTGACACCAGGGTGGTGACATTGGCATGGTGACACCGGGCACTGCTGGCAATCCAGCTGTGCCCTGCCCAGATGTGACCAGAACTGGGAAGGGGGCTCACCACAGGGTGTGGGGTCACTCTAAAACTTTGGGGTCACCCAGCTGGCCCCGGTGCCCTATGGTGGGGTTTTGGGGACACCCGTGTCCCCCAGGTGATGCCACAGCGAGGCCACACCAGCACACGGAGCATGTGGGGGGCACATGCCCGGGGCACAGCCACTTTGGGGTGCCCAGTCCTGCGTGGGGGCCACCACGGGGACAATGGGGACACGGTGGGGACGATGTGGCCGCGATGGGGACGCCGTGGCCGCGGTGGCAGTGCCGGACAGCGGTGTCCAGCCTAAGCTCACATGGGCCAGAGCGGCCAAAAGCTGCTTACGGCAGAATTATTGCCCTTAACCCCGCTGACTCCACGCTGTCCTCAGAGTCCCCCGGGCTCAGGGGGCCAGGCCGGGCCGGGGGGGGCTCCAGGGACCCCCCACCCCCTCCAAGGGGGGCTGGGCTGGGGGGACATCGCTCCCAGGGCTCCCGTGTGGCCGGGCCGGTGTCACACGTGCCGGGTTTGCTGGTCCCTCCATCCCGGATCTGAGGCGGGGACACGTCCAGGATGTCCCCTCTGTGTCCCCTGCTGTCCCCCCAGGCTGGCGAGTGGCCCAGCTCCGGCTCAGCCCGCGGGACGGGGACATGGCACTGGTGGCTGTCCCCGTGTGGGGACACATTTAGGATGGGATTAGAGAGCGGGAAGCGCTGGCGCGGAGGGACACGCAGAGGGGACAAAGGGGACAAAGGGCTGGGCTGCTGTCACA